TAATTGCATCACGTCATTGTTTACGTCAATTTATTCGATCGAACACCAAAAGAGCTTTTTTTGCTATTTTCGGCTGAATAATTCTGATTGCTGAACATCCGGTGCATCCTTAGAGCTTATTATAAATAAATAAACAATTAAATAAATAAAATGACAAAAATACATTTAAGAGTGACTAATGTAGCAATTGACCAATGCAGATTGACTAAAATACACTTGGATACACATGAAGGATAGGAACACCTACTGGAAATCTACTAGTGACCTTAACAGTGGTCAATGACCTTAAGAAGCCGTCTGCTCTATGCATCAACATCAGCAAGGATAAGATCTGTTCAGTTCAGCTTTAAATATGTTTTGACCAATAAGATAAGCATTTGGGTCATGAGTTTGGAAATGGTGTTCTGAAAATGTGTGCTGCCTCAGGATGTGCTACCAGCAGTTCAAACTGTTACATTTTAAGTTAAAGCACCAAGCTTTAAACCTAACCTTACAGCCATGTGAATATAGCATTCAGACGCTGATAATGTTACTCTCAGTGTACAAAGAGCATGTACAGTACAAGTGATATGAAAAGTAATGAAAAAGTTACAGGTGAGCAAAAAAAAAAAATCAATGAAGTTATCATCATCATTGTTCTCATTTTAATTTTTTTAATTATATTTGTCATATATATTAAAACACTCCCTACATTACATCTCTAATCTCTTTTGTGCAATTCCTAATAAACTAAACACAGACTAAACACTGAATTTCCCAATATTAATTCCAAAACTTTAAAAGTTACAAAACTTAAATTAAAGTTAAGTTAAAAAATGTAATAAAAAAAACTTTTTTTTAATTTGAAAGCAAAATTGCAGCACAGAGGTTGTAAATGTGCATTTATTTAGCAACCACAAACATTATAGTCAAGATATAGCAAATAGCACAAGTGGCCTCATAAGGGAACACTGGGCTGTGACGGTGGCAGATTTTTACCAATAGTTATGGACCAACTACCGTCGGTGGCGCGGTGTTGTGATATAATTATCTATAATTAATTTTCATAAAATGTATGTATATATATATATATATATATATATATATATAAAAATTTAACACAAAAAATAAAACTTTTTGAATGAATGAAACTGAATGTAAATGTGAATGCAGATGCTCAACACACAATCATCTTTATTAAAAGTAGTAAGATAAACATATCTTTACAGTGCTGATGCCGCGCGCGCTCCTATTGCGGTCTTTGATCTTGAAATGAGCTGATAATTAATAAAATGCAGCGCTTATCTTTTGATTTCGTTGACGTGAACTCCGTTAAATTTAAATATAGCGCGGGAATTGAAGATTGGATTTAAATCCGTTTTGTGACGACACGTTTATGTGGCCAAGTGTAAATGGAAACGTTTTAACAAATCAGATAGATATCCAATCAGCGGAAACGCATGAAATGACCAGGTGTAAACAGGCCCTAAAAAACAGAGAATTGTCACGAAGGCAGATAGCCGAAACGTTTGTCTTTTTATCTCATGCTTTGGTTTCAATAAAAGACTTAAAGGGGTCATATGATGCGATTTCAATTTGTCCTTTCTCTTTGGAGTGTTACATCCGTCACATGTGGTTGCTGCTCATTCGTCGGATCCGCCGGGCGCGTCGTTCTCGACCCCGCCATTCGTTTTCAATTAAAGGATCTGCCACTGATGAATCAAACGCGAGTTTTGGGCAGTGTAGAGTAGCACTTGTTGTTTGTCATTTCTCCGATCACAAATGCAGACAGAGTTTTATGTTTACGCGGCGCAATGCGATGCAACGCAATACGTAAAAAGACAGTACAAGTCATTATAATCAGTAATTATGTCCCCACTGGATGCAACAAATGCCTTGTTTGTAATGGGTTTGAATGCTTTTGTCTTGTCGCTCCGGCTGGAACACGGCATCAACAGTATGGTGAGGGGCGTAACATTTCCGTCTTACGCTTGAGGTATTTGGCCAATCACAACGCATTGGATAGCCTCGCTTTTTCTGACCGATGAGCTTTGTAAAAATTGACGCGTTTCAAAAAGGCGGGGCATAGAGGAGAAACAATAATGTACAGTGTGTGGAAAATAATGTGTTTTTTTTACTTTAAACCGCATAAACATATTTCATTACACCAAATGCACAAAATAATGTTCTTTTGAGCAGCACCATATGACCCCTTTAAAGAGTGCAGACCAACCTTTGTAATATGTCGTTATTAAAAATCAAAATATAAAATATAAAAATTAGGGATGCACCGGTTGACCGGCCAGAAATCGGAACCGGACGGTTTTTGCTTATAATGCGCGATCGATAACCGGACGGTTTTTTGTATTTTTTTCGTCCGATTTTTCCGGAAGTGTGCACAGAGGCACCAGCAGAAAAAATACCACGCAGAGCAAGCTCACTGTTGGCGAAGCACGATGAGATATTGGAAGAAAAAACTTTAGTGATTAAGGATACGGGCAGCCGTACAGCACTGGAAATGCAGAGCTACCTGTGGCACAGATATCAAGAAGCGAACAGCCGTTGGTGTACTGGCGCACAAATAAGAGCCGCTTTCCTGCACTCGCTGAAGTTGCGCGAGTGTACCTGTCCGTGCCCTGCACAAGCGTAGACAGTGAACGTTTGTTCAGCTCAGCTTCTCACGTGTTGGATGAGAAATGAAACAGACTAGCTTGTGACAAAGCTGAAATGCTTCTTTTTGTAAAGAAGAACTCGCATGCACTTTTGTAAACGTCGGTTCTGTAGGCTATAGGATTAATATTTTTTATTTTACCTTAAAATTACATTGACATAATGTGATTTAAAAAGCACCTGTCGTAGTTAACATTTTGGAATAATTTATTTATATAGCCTACTTTGGTTTTATTTCGTTTCACTGGTAAAGATATTTTTTTCTTTACACCAAATTTAAAAACGAAAACAAATGCTGAATGCTGATTAAGTAACATCTTTGTTTGGAGTGTTGAATGTGTTTTGATTGTGTTCTTTGGATTGTGGAACTATGCAGTTGTTGCCTTTAAAATTACATGGTTACTGTTAATGTTTTCATTTAAGGCCAGTTTATAGTTTCAACCCAATTTAAAAACAAAAGCTAAATGCTTTTGTCAGTAGGCCTACCTATGTTTGTATTGAATGTAGCCTATTTACTGCGCAGTTACTGCTGTTAATTTCAGATGGTTACAGTTGTTGTTTTCAATAGCCAAAACCCAGTTTAGCCTGTTAAATACCAAATAAACATCTGGCTTATGTGTACTTTTATTCTTTCTTGTTTGTTGCTTGATAAAAAAAATCGGAATCGGCCAGTTTGCTTGAAAAAAATCGGTATCGGAATCGGCCATGAAAAATCATGATCGTGCATCACTAATAAAAATATGTAGTTTAAACGACATAACATTTCATCACAAGCCCTATAAAGTGAGGACACTCTTTCGATGTGCATTTTTGAGAACACTAAGGAAAGAACATGTTCTTTTCTCCTGTTTGGACACTTCAAACAGACGTTTGCACTGCCTGTTTGGTTTACCTGTTTACAAGTTCATAATGTGCGTTTTGTCTGACTCAAAATGTACGTATTCGACGCCCATTTCTGTTATGATAAACCCAAAGCGCATGTTATGAACGCGAGTTTTTATGACAAATCACGCGTCGAGGACGTGCGTTTTGCTGTCAAATCACACGCTTTTGACGTGTCAGTGTACAATCAGACGCCCGACCAGGTGTACATGAATACTCTGGCTTGCCATACGTTAACTCCTCGTCTGCACGTGCTCTCTGTGAAATAGGAATCTCGGCGTATGTTTCCACATTTCTTGTTAGCATCTTCCATTTACCGCTGTCTCGTTTGTATTTGGCCAGTTTGGAGAAAGCCTCACCAATACCCTGACCAGCCGGGCGTTTGCGATCATGGGAACTTGAACACATTTGTACAAATTCGGATGGGTGCATCCTCCAGATCGGCGATGTAGTATTTGGTTTCCCAACAATCGCTCAACACGAAATTAATTTGCTGAATGCAAAATAAACTGTGCTCAAACCCGCCAATCTAAAGAAACGCTGTGTATGGCGTTTGAGGTGATTTGTGAATTAACATAGACTTAGACTTATAGTCTAAATAAACAATTTGCAACTGTTACTGTTATAACACTTGCATACAAAATTTAGTATGTATTTCTGTAGTCTTTGGTATTATGCTTTTTTATAGAGTGTGTGACGTCACTTGCACTACTGCTGGTGGCAATAGACCACCGCAGTTGTCACGGCAACCGTCACAGCCCTAGCTGTATTACATTTTATTTGAGCACAGTATCACACAAGAGACGAGTAAAACACTGGGGAGAAAATGTGTCCTGATTGGGGAATTTAAACTCTTGATATGTGGCAACCCCAAACATAAAAGCTTGTGGAGCAAATAACCAGCGGGTCATTATAGTCGCTTACTTACAGTCTGTTACAGACAATTATGATTAATTACTCGAGAAATCAAAATCGTGATCACCATTAAAATACAATACAATATTCCATGCTGTCAGTTTATCACGCAATTAAAGGTGAGCACGATTTCTGTTATGTTATACAAGATTGCTTGTATGTTGCATTGACGTTATTAAAATCTTCGATGATTTAAAAACAGTTAATCTAGATAAACTAGTCACAATTGTTTTGGTGTCATTGTCAGAAAACTTGGTACTCTTCTGTTATTACCAAAAAGGCAGTGTAACCTGCTAATTATTTTTATTTATTTTTAATTTTTTGAAATGCAGACATAGTATATTGAGTTGATTTTACAATTTCATGAAAGCTTGTGTCTGGATTAAATCTACTGTCTACATGAACATTCATATCTTTGAATTTTTTGTTCAGCATTTAATCATACCATATTATACCATGTTATACAATCTAACTCTAATGTTTCATTCATGCACATATTGGACTTAGTGTCTGTTTTGGTCTAATTCTTTATTTTCTGTTCATTTTCTCCACAGATATTACTGACAGGAATGAACTGAAGGCATTTTTTGAAACCAACTGCTCACAGATTTATTTTATCTTCTATGAAAATTTCATTACACTGGAAAGTAACTTAAAGCAAAAAGGTAAGATATGTTTGTATGCTTTCTGGAGGGGAAAAAAATTAATAAAAAAAAAAAATATATATATATATATATATATATATAAATAAATATATCGTCTCTAATGTAGTTCATTCCAAATCAGTCACATATGGTAAAAGATTAAATTTCTGTTTCGTGCTATATTGGAAGATATCTTGCTTCGATAGAAAGGCAGCTCGCAAAGGTTTTGGAAAATAGCTTTTGAATAATGCAAAACAAAAAACAAAAATCTGATTCAACCCTACATTTCCTCAGCCTGATGTAACAGCCCTGCCTCGCTGCTGCCTGCATGCCCCCTCATGTGAAGTTAATGAGGCTTTTGTTTCTGTTGAGTCCCATCACTGACCAAAGTGGTTTTCCTGCACTGTGTTCAGTGAAAGTCATCTGTCCTTCATGCTGAAGCACAATTCTACAGTAGAAGTATTTGTTTGAAACTCACACCTCATCATTTTCCTGCATATCAAGAGAGTGATTTTATGATTCAGCTGAGCAGTTTTTAACTGAGTAAATTAAAGACCTGGAATTAAAATGCTGGAACACAGAACTGCAGTGCTAACATGCACCAGTGCACTATAATGACAACATCAGCTTTCTTAAGAGCATCAAATGGAGTATCACCCTAAAGATAACCTGTGATGCTGTATAGGAGCATTATGATTTCAAGAGGTCTTAAATTTGGGGACAGAAAGACCAGAATTGCGATATGTCTGAATGTGACGATTAAACTTCAAATCAAAAAACTATGATTTCATTAAATCAGAGTCCGGTGCTGCGCTGCTTTGTGTACTGCAGCTACCGGGGAAACAGTTATATTTCTACCAAACGCTCCACCTGCTGTAAGAGAATGAATGAGCATTTTCAATAAACCGTTGTTTTGTTCAGAGTTCAGACTAGAGGTCGACCGATATGGGTTTTTCACTGGTCGATGCCGATGCCGATATTTAGAAATCAGGGCAGCCGATGGCCGATATATGATGCCGATTTTTGGCCGATTTTCTTTTTTTTCCCCCATTCATCTCATAAAAGTGAGTTTGAGCAAATGATTATTGCAGGGTACAAGATAGTAATGGTAGTAGTAGCCCAATTTAGAGTAATAATACATGGCTCAAAACTTGAGCACCTTCTCAAAACAGTTCTGAAGGATGCTTTTTGTTTCTGTTTGCTGACAGACACCAGTATTTCCCACAGACTGCAAATTAATTCTCTGCCAGCAGGAGGCAATTTGGGAGCTGGAGATATAGCGGCTTCCCCGGTAAAGGCTGTAATCAAATAAGCGCTGCTCACAAATGCTATCAGGCATTACAGGAAAGACTAAATGAAAATGACATCGAAGCTTTTCTGAAGACAGTCGGTTCTTTTCAAAGATACGTTCATAATCAGAATG